AAGAAAACAGAGTTATGCAATGCCTGCACTCTAGGAAAACAAGTAAGAAACTCTTTTAAGTCTATACATCATGTTTCCACTAATCGTGCTTTGCAGCTTCTTCATATGGATCTTTTTGGACCAACCAGAACACAAAGTATTGGTGGTAAGAAATATTTTTTAGTTATTGTTGATGACTTCACAAGATTTACTTGGGTGTTCTTCCTTGCTCATAAAAATGAAGCATTTTCATATTTTTCAAAATTTGCAAAAAGAATTCAGAATGAAAAGGGCTATACCATTTCCTGCATTAAAACTGATCATGGGGGAGAATTTGAAAATCAAAATTTTTCAGATTTTTGTGAGGAAAACGGCTTTCAACACAATTTTTCTACTCCTTATACACCAGAACAAAATAGTGTTGTGGAGAGGAAAAATCGTTCTTTGCAAGAAATGGCAAGAACTTTGTTGATTGAAAGCAAGATTCCTTCTTATTTCTGGGCAGATGCAGTTTTTACAGCATGTTATATCATTAACAGAGTTTTTCTCAGACCTATTCTTGAGAAAACCCCCTATGAGCTTTACAAAGGTAGAAAGCTCAATATCTCACATTTTCGTGTGTTTGGTTGTAAATGCTTTATTCTTAAAAATCCAAATGATCGCACTGGTAAGTTTAATGAGAAAGCAGATGAAGGATTTTTCCTTGGATATTCAACTACAAGTAAAGCATTCAGAGTCTTCAACAAGAATTCTCAAACTGTGGAAGAAACAATGAATGTAAGGTTTGATGAAAATATTCAGACTCACAAAGATGAATCTGAACCATCTCCCAACATTCAAGAGTTATGAGAAGCTCAACAAGAATCTCCAAAGATCGTAGAATCTGTAGAAGAAGGAAAAGAAGATACAATACAGACTCAACTAGAACCTTCAGAGTCTGATGATATTCAAAAGAAAGATTTGACAGAAACTGAAAACATAAATCCAGTCATCCGAAGAACCTTATCATTGGAGAAATAGAAGATGGCATCAAGACCAGATCTAAACACAAAGAGAACATTAGCAACTTAGCGTTGATATCAGAAATAGAACCAAAAGAAGTTGGAGAAGCATTATCAGATGAAAGCTGGATCGAAGCTATGCAGGAGGAACTTCAGCAGTTCAAAATCAATAAAGTATGGGAACTTGTGCCGAGACCCAAAAATCATCCTGTAATTGGAACAAAATGGGTATTCAGAAACAAACTGGATGACAAAGGGAAAGTCACAAGAAACAAAGCAAGACTGGTTGCAAAAGGCTATTCTCAAGAAGAAGGCATCGATTATGATGAAACATATGCACCAGTTGCAAGGTTAGAAGCCATTAGGCTACTATTAGCTTATGCTTGTTTCCATAACTTTAAATTGTTTCAAATGGATGTGAAAAGTGCTTTCCTGAATGGCTATATCAAAGAAGAAGTATATGTGGAACAACCACCTGATTTTGAAGAACCAAAAAGGTCTGATCAGGTTTATAAACTCAAAAAGGCCCTTTACGGTCTAAAACAAGCTCCTCGTGCCTGGTATGAGAGGTTAAGTAACTTCCTTCTGCAGAATGACTTCACCAAAGGTAAGGTTGATACAACTTTATTCATTAAAAGAAAAGGTAAGGATTTCTTACTTGTTCAAATTTATGTTGATGATATCATTTTTGGATCATCTAACGAACTGCTTTGCAAAGAATTTTCTAAGAATATGCAGAATGAGTTCGAGATGAGTATGATGGGCGAAATGACATTCTTTCTCGGCCTACAAGTGAAACAAACCAAAGGTGGTACATTCATTTGCCAAGAGAAGTATGCAAAGGAGATTGTCAAGAAGTTTGGATTGCAGAATTGCAAGAAAACAGACATTCCTATGTCTCATTCATCCAAACTGGACAAAGATGAAAATGGTAAAAATGTTGATCAGAAGGTATATAGAAGCATGATAGGATCATTATTATACCTTACTGCATCTAGACCTGACATTCTATTTAGTGTCTGTATGTGTGCAAGATTTCAATCAGACCCAAAGGAATCACATCTTTCTGCAGTTAAAAGGATAATCAAATACATTGGAACTTATCCAATGTTAAGTCTTTGGTATTCCAAAGATTCAGATTTTACTCTTACTGGTTATTCTGATGCTGATTTAGCTGGATGTAAAGTGAACAGGAAAAATACTTCAGGAACATGTCCACTACTTGGGAATATGTTGGTGTCCTGGTACTTAAAGAAGCAAAATACAATTGCACTTTCTACAGCAGAAGCAGAATATGTGGCTTTGGGAAGTTGCTATGCACAGATTCTGTGGATGAAGCAGCAGTTGCGAGACTTTGCTATTGAAGATTCAAATGTTGCAATCAAATGTGACAATACAAGTGCTATTAATCTGACCAAGAACCCAATTCTTCATTCACGTGCTAAGCATGTTGAAATTAAGCATCACTTCATTAGAGATCATGTTCAGAATGGTGATGTGAATATTCAATTCATTGATTCTAAGAATCAATTAGCTGATATATTCACAAAACCTCTTGATAAGTCTTCATTTGAATATATTAGAAATAAACTATGCATTACTTACCCATTTTCTTGAAAGTATTTGTTAGACAGGAATTTTTCAGACTCAAATGATCTCCATCTGAAAAGTCTATTTCAGACTCAAATGTAAGGTACGTCCTTAATTCAAATTTTGGCGGGAATATTTTTGGCATTTCTGGCAGGATATATTGGTATATTTTTCAACTCATGTATGAATTCTAATTTTATTTCATTAATTGAGTGTGCTCAAAATATTTTTTTCTCCTTCCAAAATTCCTAAATATTTGGTTCAATTTTTTTTCTAAAAGTGTCTTTCTTTCTAAAAACCGTACTCTCCTTTTTATAAAACCCTACCAGTACGAACCTTTTCTCTTCCGACTCACACCTTCTCGGAGCGGTCTCCTTCTCCATCTTCCTCCTCTCAAAGATCAAAACTTTCTGTTCCAAACACTCTCGCTCGATCATCCATGGCTTCCAAAAGACGGTCATCGAGAATTCAGAATAGAGTTTCACAGTACTCAGGACCACCAGAGTTCATGGAAATCACTGATTCAAAGACAGAATCTGAGAGACAGACCTCTTCGAACGACACTCCTCCAGCATCCTCTCAAAGAACTTCTGGTAAAACAGATTTCTTTTTTAAAGATCTGAAACACGTTTGGAAAACTTACCAAAGATTGAAAAGAGGTAATGCTTCCGAATCTGTTTTATTTGCCTGTTTAAAGGATAATGGTTTTAGGTTAGAATTGCAGCTTGTGGAAAAATATTCCTCTCTTCAGAATGTATCTACTTCTGAACAAAGGAAAAGTTCTTCTGAAAAAGGGAAAGCAAAAATTGGTGAATCTTCTCAAAAGATCACTTCTGTCTCAAGCTCTAAGTCTCCGAGCCGATATTCTAGTTTTTCGAGAATAAGGGAGGACGATGACGCCAGGATTGTTCATCATTTTGAAAAGAAATTGGGGATTGCTTATGGAGTGAAAGGGAAAGGCAATCTTTTTAGGAATCGACAGCATAATGATTTTTATAAAACGTTGCTGTCAAGAGGAATAATGAACCATCGAAGCGTTGATTTCGATTTTCTAGAAAAGACTGGAATTTTTGTCAAACATTATTTTGACAGGTTGGAATTGACTGAATTCTGTCGTCAGTCTGCGCCTATGTATGCAGAAGTAACTGCATATTTCTACTCCAACTTGTTCATTATGTCCCCTGATTGCATTCAATTCTCTGTTGGGTATAAGAACTATAAACTATCTACTGCTCAATTGGGTGATATTATTGGGGTTCCACATCGTCAGTTTCTTCCTATAGAGGTCATTGAAGAAGAAGCCTCTAAAGTTGCCTCAGAAAACCCAAACTTTTCCATAGGTTCAAAAAGGCTGATTACTTATCCTGATTTGACAAAGAAAACAGTGATCTTACATAAGATCATTATCAATTGTCTTAGGCCCAAAGCATCATCAAAGACTAATTTATCCAAATTTGAGGTCAAACTTATTTGGGCAATTCTGCATGCAGTCTCATTCTCTCTTCCACACACAATTATTCTTCATATGTATAGAACTGTGCTAAAGGACAAAGGTCAGCTTCCCTATGGTGCATTAATATCTAGGATATTTGTTTATTTGCACATTTTTGTCCCTGATGAATTGTGCAAGACATTTGTCCCTCTAATGTTTGTTGGAGAAAAGATGTTGGCCAAAATGAACTTCCAGCAGTTTGCTGCCAAAGAAAATAGAGAGACACCAGGACAAAGACCAAGAGAAACCCTTGGAGTTCATTCTGAAGCATCATCTCCTCAAGGAAGACCTTGGAGAAACCCTAGGCTGTCAGCGTGGGAGAGTGGACGTAGGCTTGCTATAAGCCGAACCACTATAAACTTGTGTGCAGTTTTTCTATCCCTTATCTCTTACTGTACACACTGCACATCAAGAGCACTGTTTATATAAACTGTTTGAATCTGAATTTTATTCAGACTCAACTGTGATCTTTCATTTCCGCGTAAATTGATAAAAATTGTTTAAGATCACCTATTCACCCCCCTCTAGGTGATCCTTGCTAGCTACATCAATATTTGCGGTCTAGTGATGGGAATCTATCCATGCAGGAACATTTCGCCGCATGTTGGCTCTTTTTCGTAGCACTGCATCGACTTCTTTCGATGTGTTGAGTTATGGAGCGGTTGGCAATGGAAAGACTGACGATTCCCCCATAATAGTCCCATCTCTTTCTCTTGAGTTATGTATGTACAATGTTTAGATTTCGCGACTCATCGATGTAGCGTCACTAGTTATTCACATTGCATTACACATTCAGTAGCAGCAATCAATGTATGTGTTTCTTTTTCTCTTTTGGTGAAGATGATGTGTTTGTGGTTCTGCACATGAAGACTTCGTTTCGAGGAACATCTTGTACGAAAACATTTTCCTTCTCCATCTGTTACACATAAAGAAGTTACTGAGAACTCGGCAATATTCATGGACTTGGAGTCATATGAATCGTAGGCCTTCCTGGAGGCATGGAAGGCCGCCTGCAAATTTTCATCGAAACTGTCCATTCTCGCTGTACCGGCAAAGAAAATTTTCTTTTTGAAGCCCGTGACGTTCAGCGGCCCATGCCAACCCGATTACATGTATGTTCTGGTAAGTCAAGCCTCAGACATTCCTTAGTCCTTCATCGCTCATCGCAAGCAAAATATTTACACGAGACCTACACTTGACGGCAGGGATCGTGCTTAAATTCTTTGAATTTGCCTGATTATTGTAGCTCATTGTATAGCACAGTTTCTTTAAATGCTGAATCTTTATTTTCTTAATTTCACTCGACGAAATGTCTCCGGCAACATTGCTGCACCCAACTCAAAGACAGAGTACGGTGGCTACCGCATCAATAGTTGGCTCGTCTTCTCTGACGTGAACCGTTTTAATGGTCACTGGCACTGGAATCATCGACGGGAGGGGTTCGGGTTGGTGGTCACAGTCTTGCATTGGAAATGCATCTAATGTAATTCAATATATGACTAATTGGATTTTCACATATTCTTTTGTTTCTTGATATTTTTGTTCTCATAAACATGAATTTGGAAATTCTCATATTGTTTTCTTGTTTATACGTTCACCGGGGTGCAACATGCACAGGACCAACCGTAAGATCTTCCTCTACATATAAGCTTTATATAGTGCTTCAGTAGCTCCCCTTTTTTTTCCTGGAAAACTACAGTCAACAAATTCATTCAACTTGAGCAACAACGGTTTCTCCAAAATAACGGTGTAAATGTTCAGTTCTGCTTCATGACAGTACTTTAATTTCTATGGCGCATGTGCATACATTGTACAGGCATTGGCATTTTATAGATGCAAGAGACTCGTGCTCAATGGATTGAGACATGTGATTAGTCCAAGGACACACATCACCCTCACCAGCTGCAAGTTTGCCACCATCTCCAACATCCATATCTCTGCCCCAGCAACAAGCCCTAACACCGACGGGATCGACATCTCTGGCTCGACCCATATACAAGTTCGCGATTCCTTCATCGGAACTGGTAATGCTGGTATCAGCTACAGCTAATTTAACTATTCATCTGTTCCTAACTCTTCGCAGTAACTTAATGGATGAGTTGGATTTTATGCAATTGCAGGTGATGATTGCATCGCTATTAGCACAGGCTCGTCACACATCAATGTCACTAGGATCACATGTGGACCTGGCCATGGTATCAGGTGAATATTGCAAATACACAGTCCATACTTCCACATAAATTAGAAGTATTTGATGCAAAGACCAATTTTTCTGGAGGTACATGTGAAGCAAAAACAGTTTTCATGAGAGAATTAATATTTTACCTCTTAAGCACGAGAAAATAAAAGGCAAAGCATGTTTAAGTATCCATTGGTTGAGATTGACTATTGTTAATGCTGAATTATGCATCGTTTTGCTGAATTTGGGAGCTGAATATGATCAACAATGTGCCATTTAATAAACGAGAATCTAGCATTGGATCTTTAGGAGCACATGGGGAGAATGACACAGTTGAAAATGTGACCGTGCAAAACTGCACATTGAAAGGTACGATGACAGGAGTGAGGATCAAGACATGGCAGGTATGAGCTCAAAGAAATATATTCTTCCTTTATGAAGAATTTAAGCAACCTTTACTTTTTACAACCTCTTAATGAATTAGGATTGAATACATTATATAGGGAGGGAATGGATATGCAAGAAAAATATCCTTCAATAAGATCAGATTCTTTCGGGTCAATAACCCCATCATCATTGACCAGTACTACTGCCCCACCAAAGTCAATTGCCAAAACAAGGTCCTTTCTTCAACTATAGTATTCCCTCTCTTCGAAGTTCATGAGTCCCTAAGAAGAAAGCTTGCATTTTCTTGCCGACTGATGGTGCTCAGACATCAGGAATTAGGGTGAGTGACATCTCGTATTCGGCGATATATGGGACATTGGTCACAGACAAGGTCATAAACCTGAGCTGTGACCAGAACTTCGGCTGCATTAATATCGTGCTGGATCATGTTTACATAACATCCACTGTTCCGAAGAAGAAAGCTTATTCCTACTGCTTCAATGCTCATGGAATACAAAGCCACACCAAACCTGCAGCCACTTGCTTGCTGAAATAATTGTAGGCTCTGTATCAACTGCTATATGTGAAATTTACCTTACACTCGTAATGTAATCGATAATAGCTATCCATATTATTACAAATGTTATTACATTAGGTATCTCTATATACCGAAGCCGACGTTTCTCTCTCAACATCAACCATTCTTTTGTAGACCATCTGTATTTAAGTCACAAACATTCACGTAATTCTACAATATTGACCACTATTAGTAGCTGAATACATGAAGACCGGAACAATTTCTTCACTCCATACCTTGAAGCTTTACTTGTACTAAATGCTTCAAGTACTTGCGCAGGTCAAGGCTGAACCCGGTTTTAGCTCTTACTTGCAGTTTGAGTCGACAGGTCTACACTTCACACAAGTCTGAGAGGCCAAAAACTGCGTAGCGATTGTTCGCCACATTGTCATACGCAAAGTCTAGTAAAATCTGCAGAAGTAAAAACAAATTTTAGCCTTTTAGGCATTAGTTTGATAAATTCAACGTGCAGAGAGAGATGATTAATCAGAGGGTCCTATGGACTATGGTTTCGGACAGAAGTTTGGACATTTTGGAAGGATCAGCAACATTTGAGAAACAAACAACGGGGATTCAGTAGAGGGACAGTTGGCTGATGGTAACTTCTGCACGATGACTAAGGTAGGTCTGCTCTCTTCTTTCTGAAGCTCACAGCGGCTTGAGTATTTATAAACCCTATGACTTGCATGTGATAGAATAGACCAATCTTGCAGCAATTCACAACATAAGATGGTCACTTTCTGAAACTTCTATGTCATGCCCCAAATCTGTGTCCAGAACTTAGGGAATGGCCGGTCATCCTTCATAAAAGGAAGGACGAAAAATTAACCAAAAATTAATCATTTTACGAAAAACGTATTAACTGGATAAAACCTTGCATTAATAATGGAAATAACCATAAGGTCCAAAAATGCCATATATGTACCAAACCAGAATTTCTTTGAACTCAGTATAATAAGCTTCGTTCAAGTGGTACAATAGATCCTAAACCACCGCCATCACGACATCTGAGCAAAACCATAGCTCCATAAGCGACAATCACCACTTCTACGGGATCAGATGATGAATGATGCAATTTTACAGTAGTTATGCGGCACATCAAAATCACACTCAAGCTATTACGGGACACTCCTTATCACAAGTCATTTCAATATCACAAACGGATATAAATATCAAATTCATTGTCTATGTCAAAATGCTATGGTCTCGCTCCATCGTGCGATGAGGTCCGAAAATTACATTAGCTGTAGGTAAGCTCCAAAAATCACATCGACTGTGATCACGTCTCAGAAATCACATCGAGTATGTGCAATGCCATAATATATAATCTTCCTTTTGATAAACATGTAATGCAAATTTTATTGAAGCATAGAAGAGGTAAAACTAAACATGATTTAAGGCCCATGCATCGTAAGAAAATATTTACTTAGTACAACATGTAGACTCTCTTTTGGCCAAAAGCCCCCATTTTAGTGAATATTACGAAAATGCCCTCCGGGGTTCGGTGTTAGGTTCGTGAGCCTGGCACATATCCAAATTGCTCAAAAATATTTAATATTTATTAGTGAGTTCCATCTATTGAGAGCAACAAATCTTCAAGTATGCCATATTTACCAGAAATTCATAAGATTCCAATAATCACCAAAAATTGCAATAATTCCAAAAAATGCAGAAAATTGACACAATGTAGTATGTGTTGTTCCCACAGTGAAACCGGCGTCAATATCCGATGCCGGAGTAAGCCGTACGAGTCCTTCGATGTTACTCCTTTCGCGAAGGACATAAAATTTCCGGATTTTCAAAATTCTAGTTTCGGGTTGTCCAATTTGAAGGGATCGATTCTCACTCCATAGCTAACCAAATCAAGGGTTCTAGGTGTCTATGGAAAGATCTCACGTACCTCTACCAATATGTTGCAGTCCTCAATTGACAATGTTTGCAAGAATTCCAAGTCCTCCAAACCTTGCATCTCATTTAGCAACGGGCAACGTTTTCACTGACGACACCTAGAGCTTCTTTAAGCTTGAAAGACTGGAAAACTTCACGAGCAATTTACAAGCTGACAGTTCTAGATGATGCACATTCTCCAGCTGCCCAAGCACATCGTGAAACTGAATCTCTCGTAGCCAACATGTGCAGAGGTTTAACCAGGACAAATTTCTCAAGTTCGAAAAGAGCGACCATTCTATAGGTGACTTGACATCATACAGAGTCGATTCTTCAACACTGGATGGAAGCCATGTCATGGATCGTTGTAGGTCGAGACATGTTATTGTGAGTTGTTGGGGCCGAGAAAGGGAACTCGTGCTAGTCGGAGGCAAGGTGAGATTTGGAAAAATGAGGCCCAAACGCTCCGGCAACATTTGAAGTCCACTACCTTTCAGTAAATGAAGTTGTTCGAGATGAGAAAGCTTTGACTTTGATAGTTGTTAGCAATCTCCTAAAGTTGCTCCGTGAGAAGTCTGGGATTCTCAACAAAAATAGTTGCCCAATTTCACTAGGAATTTCCTCCATATCACCGCCAACACAAAACTCTTCAAGATTAAGATTCTTCAGCTTTCCAATGGCCTTTGTTACCTCCCTTATATCATTCCCAATCCGGTACACTTCAACATTATAGGATTTCTAATGGAATAGGGTAATTTCGAAATGTTTGCTTCATGTAAATTCAACTCAAGCAGCGATTCCAGTCCTCCAATTGAGTCTGGTAGCTGTCTCAACTTGCAATCAGATAATCTATCACCCGCAACCTATTAAGGTTGCCGGTAAATTCCAGTAATTCAATAATGCATGTTCACACAAATCCAACTTGAGCAATGACTGAAGTCGTCCAATCAAGTTTCGCATCTCTCTTATCTGACTACCATGCAATCCATTACCTCCGGTCTTTTCACATTGCCGATAGAATCAGGCAATTCTTTAATTTCTGTATCAGGTGGTGCCATCTTAATTAGCGATTCTAGTCCCTCAAACAAAAACCGTAGACTTTTATATAGAACTATTCCAATTGTTAGTTAGACCATGGCCAATGTTTTCTTTTTACTGCACGTTATTCTTGATATAGTAGTTCTTGCATTACTTCATGGTCTTGAGTGTGTATATTGGTGATCTCAATAGGGATGTACTCTGTTGCCTCGTATTCATGCTGGTGATCTGTTATTTTCCTTTCCTTTAGGTTTTCTCTGCAGTACGTAAAGACAGGATTTGTATCTGGATAACTAGTTGTGTAGATATTTATGGATTCCGGAAGATGAATATCCTCGGAACAATATCTTGTTTACAGCGACTCGCCTCCTTTTCTTAAAGTATAGGTATCACAAAGTCATTTTTTTCTGTTTTAACATTCATGTAGAACAATTTTACAGGGTTCAAGTTAGCATACAATTGCCAGAAGGGACAACAACATGAGAAATATTGTGAGTTTTTGAAGCTTTCAAAGGAGGTGAGTGTTCTGTTTGTCTCGTGATTGCAAAGTGCATCATTGCTTGGGCTTTTTCTCTACTCTAGATGTGCATTTACCAATGCATGTAATTCCAGGAATTACGCTCATAAGCTCCTAAATCCTCTTCAACAGTGAGATGGTTAATCATTCAAGTAAATTATTCTGGTAACTGGATACCTTTCTCCATGTTTCTCTCTCTCTCTCTCTCTGCGCATTAGTTCTTTTTCTGTTTCATTAGAAGTGTGTTTTTCGTCGATCTTTTATATTTTCTTTTGGTGTTTGCTTCCGATTTACAATTTGCTCAAACTCTACATTTTTTGCTTTAAGGGCTTATTTGTTTGTTATCCCCAGATCTACTGTTAAATAATTCTCTCTTTGGTGCTACCTTCTTTCATAATTAATTCATTCCCATGAATGATACTAGTGATGTGCTCAAACATTTAGTTCACTGCGGAGAAGGTGTTCTCTGAGGAGTGGATGGAAAATTCTCATCTGATATCGATATATCACGATCTGCTGTGAGCAAACTTTGATGAGCTTGAAGCTGCTGCGAGGTCATGTAGGTGCTCATTTGATGAATCCTCACTGTTCATTATTTCTCTTCACTTGAACCAAGATTGTTGCATGACAGACATAAGTGTAATGGTACCGGTATAGATTTTCCTATATTATGCAGATTTTGGTTAGGTATATTTGCAATGCTCCAATGCTAATTTGATCGCCACCAGTGCAGTTCCACTGCTAACACCACACCCTGTAGCTGATGTTTTCAATAATGTTGTAAGCGCATCTGTATTGTCAGATCAGGGCAATGATTCATCCAATGAGATATCTGAAATGGGATCACCAAGACTTGGGCATAGTGATTCTGCTGATCTTGGCATTGATAACTCTGAACATGAGTTCACCTATCTGGAAGCAAGTTCGAAGTATGGACTCTGTAATAGAAAGTTCATATTGGACAAAATAGAAAGATTTTGCTGGCTTAAAGAACGCAACAGAGGTGTAAATGGCATTGTGAGTGCCAGAGTAGCCCCTAAGATAATGCTGCCATGGTCAAAGATCAGTATGACAAGGACTAACAGAAAGTCACTAACAGGAAGTCATGTCATTCACGCTCGAAGACTATCATCAGAAAGTGTTTGTAGCGACTTAAGCTCCGGAAAAGGGAGCGAAGGAGCTGCATTTAATCCCATTGCAAACAGCACTATGTACAATCCCGAATTCGACGTGCAAAATCCTGCCACCGCAAGGTTACAGTTCCCGGTGGGACTTAGATGTCCCTCTTCCATCAGAAGAACGGCAAAGTTGAACAGAGTTCTTACAACTGTGCAAGAAAGGTTATCTACAGAACAACAACAGACATGGAAGATCTCATAGCCAGATTGAATCAAGACACTGCTGTGAGACAATTCTTAACAACTAAAGTATCTTCTTTGATCCTGGATAATTGGTTGAGTCTTGTATCCACTCATTATCTCCAATCAAGAGAAATGGTTGCTGCCTCTCCACCATTTTGTATTTTGAAATAAGAATTGTGATTTGAGCCATCCAGAAATTTCGCTTCTATGCAGTAAGTTATCGGTACTTCGTTCCCCAGCCGGTCACTCCGAACTTCTCCCTGTACTCTGAAATATATGCCACTCCAGTAGTCATTTTGACAGTATCTGCAGGACTAGTCGGATGTACTCAATGGATCAAAGGAAGTAAAGGATCAATTTAACGAATACATCACATGTTTAGCCCTCGAAAGCTTGCAGTATTCCGATCTGTTATATTTTGTGCTGTTGAGCTCTCCAATCGAGCTTCCAGCTTGCCCATTTACTCCAACAATTAACCCTCGTGCTTCCACAAATCATTATCCGATGACTCTGCCTTCCTTGAAGGACCTTCTTCTCTCCTGCACTACATATGTGACTAGCTAAATTAATCTCCTTACACAAACACCGATTTAAGTGAGGCCAATGGTATTTCCACTCCCTTAATCACTTTTCCCACAGCTATTAAACGGGTACATTGCATATTAAGTTGTAAAATGGTTGTGGACGAATTTGTTAGAGCCGTGAAAGAAACTTTCTAGACCTTAGATTGTGGAAAAAATTATTGTTATCGTAAAAATATCATTACCCTTTAAGTAATCGAGTTAACAATCCTTATTCCATCAACTAGTACTTCTATAGTCATCATCCCATACATGAACCACCATATAATTCCCCCGATAACGTAAATAATAATCCATGAATTATGAATAAGACCTTCCTTCAATCATGTTAATACTAAAGGTGAACATGGATGCATGCTATATACTGAATATTTCTAACAGGAACAAATAGAAAATTGCTCAGGAAGAAAAGGAAAAATAAAATAAAGGGGAAGAAAAAACCAAAGAAAGTATAACCAACTATAAGAGAATATGAGATGTTTCTTTCTTTCTAGAGTTGGCTGTTGGTATCGTCCCCACTATGACTGTAAGTATCCTTCCATTTTTTGTAATCGCCAGCAAAACCAGGCGAAATCCCGCATTCTTGAACTGCCAAAAGACACGTGTCTTGAAGTCGTAAAGCAGGCAAATTTTGCAATGGACAGTACGAGAGACTCAATAGCCGCAGCTCCTTTAATTCTGATAGATCAGGCAACCTTCCCAAGCAACTGCATCTGTGAATATTTAATGTCTCTAGCGATCCCAATTCCTCCACACCTCTAATCTCCATTATCCATTCGCAATCAAACACTCTCAACGATTGGAGCCCCTTTAATCTTGATACGGATAGCCTCTCAAGCAATTCACTATCGCTCACCTCCAAATTATGGAGTTTCACGAGCTGTTGTCCAAGCACATCATCAAATTCGACCTCCTTCAAATGACATTTACAAAGGTCCAAACTGGACAGATTTGTCAAGTTGGAAAAGAGGGACATTTCCATCGGCGACTCGACATCGAATAGAGACAATTTTTCGAGACTGGATGGAAGCCCCAATAGAGATCGGGGGTCAACACAAGTAATCTTAAGTACACGAAGCCGAGAAAGAGTAGCCAAATTAATTTGAGGAAAAGTGACATCTCTCACGACAAGTGTCAATCTCTCCAGACTAGATAACCCCTCGATCCACTCTATCTTTGGAGCTCCATGTCTGAATTCGGACAACAGAGGAGTGTCATCATTATCACGTATATGAAGATTGACTAAGGTAGTTAGGTATGAGAGGTCAATGGTGGTCCACAATAAATGAGGTGAGAACTCCAACTCCTTCAAACTCGTGGGGAGCTCTGGAAATTGTTCAAATTTATCACACCCATATAGACAAAGTTGTTGGAGATGAGAAAGTTGATCCATAGTTGTGGGCAATCTCCTAATCTTGCTGCTTGTTAGGTCTAGCATCCTCAAAAAGGATAGACCCCCAATTTCACTAGGAATTCCCTGCTCTAAATTTTGACAACATCGGGCTTTCAACTCTTTAAGATTCTCCAACATCCCTATGGCCCTTGGTAGCTCTCGTATTGCCGTCCCGTCTAGACGTAAAATCTCCAACCTTTTGAGATTCCCAATAGAAGAAGGTAATTCTGTGATATTGGTTGCCCTCAAATCTAGGTCAAGCAAGGATTGTAGCCCTCCTATTTGGTTCGGTAGCTTCTTTATCCGAGTCTGAACAAGACTCATCTTCCTCAACATTTTAAGATCTCCAATAGAATCAGGTAATCCTGTGATTCCCGTGTTATCCAATTTCAACTCAAGCAGTGATTCCAATTTTCCGATAGAGTCTGGAAGTGTTGTAAGCAAACAACAAGTTGCTAAAGACAAATACTCCAGACTCTTCATCTCTCCAGCGGAATGATGAAGTTCTCGAACTGGCGTCCCTTCTATTTTTAGCGTTGTGAGGGATTTTAGATCACCTAATATAGAAGGTACAGCAAAAAGGTTGCAATCATCTCTCTTGAGAGGACCCATCGGTTTGATTTGCAAGTGCTTAAGGTGCTCTAGTTTCGAGAGAGAACCATCAACCACTAGTGAGGTTGTACAACCTTGGAGAACCAATCTCTTCAAATTCATGCATTTTAAGAACTCGGGAGTCCTTTTTAAGCTTGGGCAATGGGTGATTTGTATAACCTTCAAGTTCTCGCTCACCTAGAAAAACAAACCAAGAATCAGCCAAGTCAAGAAAGGCAGATGGGTCATTTGGCTAGCAAGACTAATAAGAGAAAAAGTAAACTGTACGATGTGATGTTGTACCAGGCATGGCCCCCATCCGTCCCAATCTTCAGTAATGTTACTTCCAGAAAGCTCGAGCACGGCTAGTTTCTCAAGACATAAATTCGTCGCGTTTAATTTCGAAGGGCAATCACTCCAAGAGAGCCATTTTAACTTGGAGAGAAGATTCTTAAAATCCCCTTCTAAGTTCCCACCCTCAAATTCCAAGAATCTTAGATTGGGCAGCTTTGAAAATTCTTCACTAGTGAAGTTGTACACTTTTGAGTGTCCCGTTAGTCGGAGTGCTACCACTTTGTCTGTCCCCTGGTGATAAGGAAAAGCATAAGTAGACATTCAAACTGGATGACAAACATGGTGTTGTGCAAGTCTAAGAAGGTGATTATATTCAGTAATGAAAACACACATTATAGCTTAGCGCATATCTAAATTGAGAAAAGCATAAGAAAGAGTCAATCAAATTAATCTGACTTGTTCATACAGTTGGAAAGTATTCTTTATACTATATGAAATATTTTCAATCCATCGGTTTAGTTAGATCTTGTTGCAAGATGGTAACAAAGAACTTCATTATCACTGAGCAAAATCGTTTGATAGAAAATATTGCCTCCATATCTAATTTTTCTGAAACATAAAAGATCTGCAATGGTTTTGCATTTAAGAAAAAGTTGTCACACCAATTTCTGACTGTCTTGTCTTTATAACTGGATTGCGACGCTGTGGATCAAAAGCTACCTTACATTTCATGAGTTGTATGACAAGATGAGGACATGAGCTGGAAAGTCCTACTCGTTTTAGGACTCCTGGGGAATTCTACAGAATAAAGGATCAATGCACCGAAAAGATTTGCTTTCATAAAAGTCTCCTATATATTGTTTAAAAATGTTAGAGATGGACCATTAATTACTAAATCCGTATATTGTAGGATTACAATTAAATAAATCTATTACCAAATTTCAAGAAAGGGGTCGATGTCTCAATGCAGAGTGATGTTGCTAACGATTACCAACTTAGCAAAAAGGAATAAAATCAGCCTTGAAAAGCATTGATGGCCTCGGAAGTGGCAATTTGAACAATTTTCGTATTCAAACGTATTCCTTGAAGTGTTTGATACTAATTACTTTCACGTTGTAAGTGTAACTCATCAATACGTTCTAGATATGATATGTAATGATATTACCATCAATGAAACTTTGATGCAAATCTTTTCTTTTATATTTGCCAAAAGAATAATTGAACCAAAAAAGTTTACCTACAAGAAACTAACTCCACAACCGTTGGTAAATGTATTGGTCTTTTTTCTATGATGAAAATAGCAAAGTGACTGTAGCCTACCTCTTTCATCCGAACCACGTCCAAGGCAATCTTGGGTACCCATAACCTGCTACGCTTCCCTGGAACATTGACGTCCTCGCGTTGAACAATTTCTCTTCCAAGATCTCTAAGTTGGTCATGCATCCACAGTGTATCATTTTTTACTATCTTTATCAAAGACATACGAGTAAGGACAAGTACTTCACTTGTTGGGAAATAGTTGGAAGCTTTCCACATATAGTACGGGTGGAGTCTTTCTTTTCCAATGAAGTAGCATGCGATGTCAAGAAAGATCTCTTTCTGATGACACACCAACATGTCATAGCTGATCTTTAATTTATCGAAGACTTCCTGCCTGGGTATCAAATCTAGCTTCTTCAACGTGTCTTTCCAAAACTTTTTGCTTTTGCAGCAAAGTGAGGAACCGATAACCTCGAGAGCTAGTGGAAGTCCACCCGTTTTACTAGTAATTTTGCGTGAGATATCATCATAGTCATCTGGTGGAAAATCCATCCTGAAAGCATGTTTACTAAAAAGCTGAAGAGCATAGAAAGTATCCATTTCCGTCATTTCATATATTTTAAACTGTTCAAAATGTGCTTGGAAATTACTCTCTTCGTCCTCCTCTTTGATTGGCAAAAAGTTGATGTCCCTCGTTGTAATGATGATTCTGCTTCCTGGACCAAACCAATGGCTCTTTCCTGCTAGTTTAGCGAGTTGGTCCCACTTATCCACGTCATCAAGAACAAGGAGAATTTTCTTATCACGAAACCTTTCTCCAATTACGGCAATCCCTGCATCAACGGAATCGTGGATCTTTGGAGAGCTGCCTTGGAGAGTTTCTGATAAGAACTGTTTTTGTACGTCAATAATTCTACCATGCTGCGCGGATTCGCGAATGTCCAAGAGGAAGCTACAACCTTGAAATTGATTAGAGATTCGATTGAAGACAGCACTTGCGAGAGTTGTCTTACCGATACCACCCATTCCATGGATGACTAGGTAACGAACATCACGAGAACCTTCGTTTAACAAGTCCATGATAGCTTCCATGTGATCATGAATCCCGACTAAATAATCGGGCAGATTTCTCCTCCTTTTCATCAGCTTAGTCAAAACCTCGTCAATAATAGTGTTGATGATTTCACCATGGCTGCCATATTGACGGAAGATTCTTAGCATAGAACAGATGAAGGATAAACTGTCAAGTTGAGGAATATGGCAGACATGAACCTAGTCGGATTTCTGAATATGGTGGTTTTACCGTAAAGATCACTTTCCTAAGGATAAGGAAATCTCTACTTGTGAAAGAATTACGTCTGCACTATGTTTAGATGTGGGGTTTGGGAAAGGAAGACAATAATTACTAGGAAAAAAGAAAAAAAAATTAACTAATAAACCGTGTTGGTAGGAGTAAGCACAAGAAATGGGAGAAAATTCTATTCCTTATGATCACTTCACGTTTGTAGAGATCTGCAAACAGATTTAACTATGAAAGTCGTATTGTATAGAAGGCAAAGACGCACTCGATCTATCTATCCCGTCTGATTGAGGAAGTTTTTAGTTCTACATTTCCGACATATACCTATAAAGGAGTGAAACCGCTAGAAAAAAAAAGAAGAAGAGGAAAACAGCAAGCGGCACTCAATCGAAATCCGATTCTCTTCTTTTTCTATCCTTCAATTGATGTCTTAGAAAGAGAATTATCATTCCTTCTCTCTGAATCTTTTCAATCCTGCATCGTGTAAAAGTGTCACAATTTTCTGGAAAAGAGGCAGTATACCATTCTTTCTTCCGTGTGATATTCATACAGCTTACTGCCCCCAAAGGAAAAGCATCACGAGTACGCATCATCATGTCAATCCAAAATCTACTTTTTTTTTATCTGGTGAATATTTGTAATTATGCTTTTAGTTAAAGCAGCTTCAGAACCCAGACACTTACCCTCTGTTCTTCAAGCTCCATCCCTTGATTCTTGCGACCTCGATCAGGGCCTCCTCCCATTTCCGTACATCATCACGGCCAAGCTGCTTGTGATTCTCCAGAGCGTCTACGTACAATTCAGTTTTGAGCTTCACGTCGTCGGGATTCACGTCGTAGAAAATGGGTAGGATCAGTTTGTCATCCGCTTTGCGCCTGCACTCCACCATGTGCGCGAGCTCCCGGAGACACCACGCACTGGATGCGTAGCTCCTGGAGAAGATGGGCACGTATATTTTGGAGGACTCGATGGCACGCAGTAGCTCGCCTCCAATCTTCTCGCCCTTTCGGATCTCCTCGTCGTCTCTGAAGACGCGAATCCCAGCTCCAACCATGAAGTGGTAGAGGCAGTCGGTGAAGCTGAGGCGGGTGTCGGGGCCTCTGAAACTCAAGAACACCTCGAACTCGGCCCCCGACGACGACGACGACGACGAATGGCCGCCGCCGTCGACACAAACGGACGTCGTGGCCGCGTCTGGCGAGTCCCTCTTTCTCTTCATCCTCCTTCAGGGGCTCAAGATCTCCACCGGCTGTGATCACGGCGAGATGTGGAGGAGTCCTTTCTTTCCGAATCTGATCTGGGGTTTCCTCAAAGAGGAATTAGGAAAGCGAGGGAGGCAGGAGAAGGGCAAATGCGCTGTCGCTGTCGCTGTACTTTCTGGGATACGCTGGTTCTCGTCCCACCACAGAAACAGAGAAGAACAGTGACGACGACTTTGACAAAGTGGAGCCAATGAAAGTCCTCCAAAGTGGCGGGGGTCCTAACTTTATCAGCTTCAAGGGGGTTCGTTCGCTGTCGGGGAGGTGTTCTCTGCAGCATTGGGTGAACAAACTCTGTCTGTGTCTGATGCTGAAACCAAACATCGGTCGGAGCTGCTTTGAAGCACGGTAGATTGGAAAAGCCCCACATACAAGGAACGGAGGAGGTTCTCTGGCTATCCAAGCACATCAAAGTCATATCCGATTCGGACTAGCCTGGTCGGGATGAGATTCATACAGAGATTATCGCTATTCAAGAATCTCTTTCTATGTTAATTATCGGAGGCAGGCTTTCACCTGCCCCGGATGGTAATCCTGTTATCGCCTCTAACCGTCCGTCCTGTCTAATCTTGATTTGCCTGTACCTATATGTAGCCAGCTGTGCTAGAAAGGACATGAGATTTTTACTGAGCTAAATTTGATAATTATTGATTTCTCCTAATGCCATAGTATCGGAATTCAAATTCACCTATTTAAACAATACAATGTATCGAATTTCCTTGATTCCTCACCGGCAATTATATTGCAATTGTCAATATCATCACAAATGTTATTGCATTAGGAGATACAGGAGCTGAAGTATCTCTCTTAACATCGACTATTACTTTATACTATCTGCATATGAGCTAAAACATTTCGACCACTATTTGTAGCTAAATGCATTAGAAACAGAACAATTTCTTCAATCCGTAGCTTGAAGCTTCTGCATATCAATCCCCATACTTCTCTTGAACGCTTTAAGTATTTGATGAGGTCGAGACTGAACCCAAGCTTGCCCTCTTAACTTGCACATCAACTCGACAGGCCTATATCTCGCACGACTCTGAGCGGCCAAAGAATGCATAGCGGTTGTTCGCCACGTTATCGTATGCAAAGTCTCGTAAAAATCTGCATAAAGGATAAAAGGTAAAATTCAGACTGCTCCATCAAGTTAAAATTCACAGGATGAAATAGGAATTGGTCAACATAGAGGATAACAACATTGGGTGATGGGAGGACTCACATGGGAACAAACTGCAATAAGAATGCCAGTTGAGGGAAGGGCAAGTCAATATACTCCATTATCTTCAACACAGCATCCGATTTGATATATGACCTGAAATTTACAGTAAAGTTTACGTCTCCTGTTTCTTTCTTTTTCACGTCTATAAGCTATTCTGTCGCGACACTTCTTGATATTTCATTTGCAGCTAAGCATATTCAAATTGAAGGACTTTTTCATCATAATTAATGACCATATTGCCTCTGTTCTTCAGCTTCTTCACAAGTCGCAACTAAATAGACTGCTTGAAGTTGTGATTCCTTCACATCGACCTGTTGTTATTACCTTTCCTCTTCAACGAGTACAACACTTGATATATCATCCGGATCTCTTCCAGATCTCCTCAAAAGCTTCTTCCCTGCTTCACTCTGGAGTGCTTCAAACCTGATTCTCCTGAAAATCACCCGAAAAAGGGGGGGGAAAGATGGGTTCATGATAGAGCCAAAAATTTAAACAGAGGTTTGTGTTCATAAGCAACTAGAGCAGAAAGAGAAGGAAAAAAGACAACAAAAACCACGCAATTTTACTTCCCTGCAGCAACAAATAAGCTTGACTAACTAAATACTGATAGAAATGCAAATGGGATGCACCTTCAGATCGCGTCACCAATATTGGGAGCAATGGCTAAAACGTGTTTACGATGCTTCAGTGCACAATCACCCCAAAAGTTTTTAATATCTAGACATGGTATGTCTTAACAACTAACACGTACAATTGAGCAACAAAGCACCCATCCCTTAACTGGGAAAGGAAACAGATGCTCACCTATTTCTGTCATTTGCTCGAACAAACCTCACACCTCCATTGCATAAGTTGCACACACCTATCAAAGCACATGTATTCCATCATAAGAAAGAACACAAAGTGGCCTTATGGCCAATCATTCAGCTCATCCATTTATTAACATTCTACCGCAATAACTTAGCTCCCCTTTAATCACAGTTCAATTTCCTAATAATGAAAGGCAAGCAAGTCTATTAGCAATCCACCAAGCAATGGTACAAAGGATCTCAGCTTCTAACCCGACTCAACACGAGTAGGAAAGCAGATATTAATAAACGCAAAAAACAAGAACTCAAGTTAAATCTAACTGTTTAACATGTTCAATTAAAATTGTTATACTTTGCAACGACACTAACACCCATTCATAACCGGAATCTCTCGCGTGAACATGGATAGACGTGAAAGCAGAAGAATCCACCCGTCCTGAAAAGAAGAACCTCTAAAAATCGGTCCAAACCGTTCTCTGAAGCACAAGACCGAAACACGCCTCTGCGACATTCAATAAGCCAAGGACTTAACTTTGAGCTCTCTAAAAACCACACGTTTCAATCAAACGGGAGAGCTCACCATCGAACAACATGATGGGTCTCGAGTCTTGCTCGAAGAAGCTCGAAGTGGCCGCGACCCAGTCCACTGCATCCTTTCGAGGCGTCGATAGAGCAGCGAACGTACCGAATCTCCTACTCCTTACTCGCGAAGAGCTGGAAGGGCTCAATCTTGCACACCCACCAGGAACAAGAAGCGCCATGATAAATCAAAGTTCCCCTCGTTGCACGTTCAGTAGTGAGTTCTTCTGGTTACAAGAAAAGTTCTATTTCATTCGGAATTTCTTCTTTTCGTGGAGGAAATCTGCAGGGAGTCCAGACTCCAGAGACTGAAAAGAATGGCGGAGGTATGCGTGTGGATGTGTCCGCTTCATGACGTGGAGATCTACTGGACAGGTGTTGGATCGAGAAGGCTCAAACGATCCTGTAGACCCATCTTGTTCCGAAAATTGAACCTCGCATGAACAGGCCATGTTTTCATATTCATTCCGATAATAATTTGCTGTTCGAAAGAAACCTTAAGTTTTGGCACAATTGCAGCAAATTTCTTTTTCAAGAAGTTTGTGCACTCAAGGGTATTTCTTCGCTATACTCCGTGACATATTCATCTGAATTATTAAGTGATACGGTGTCTTAAGTTTATCTTTTGTATATTAAAAAAAATATTAATTTTATTTATTTACTCTTTCTTCATAATAAGATAAGATTACTGATACCCACCAGGTATTGATGATTACGATGGATTTTATTACCATAATTAACGTGCCTAGATTTTATTTTAATTACTCAGGATAGCAAAAAAATGCATTGTGATGAACAACAATTAGTATTTTGCAATACTAACATCAACATTTCCTACAAATTTGTCTATTTCTCCACCACTTTCTTACTTATAGCAATGTTATAGATGGTAATGTATTAAATGTTAAGAAATTATCCTTTTCTCAAAACAGGAAATATGGAACGATAGGCATTCCATTCCGTGTAATTTTACTAGAATATTACAATCATAAATAGAGCGATACGTAATAAAGTGTGAGCAATTTTTTTAATATACGCTTCAAATTAGGAATGATATATCGTTCAATCGGTATAGGATAAAAAGAAAATTAAATAGCGAATAAAACATAGTGAAAAAAAATCAAAGAATACCTTTTTCATCCAGAAAAAGGTATGAGAAATTAAAAATAAAATGAGCTCAGAATTACTAATAAGTGAATATTCGAGGTTTTTTTCTTTAATTAATTTTTTTTTCCCATTTTTCTTTGTCCCAGAGAAATTGACGAAGCAACGACCCCTTTTGTCCGAGAGAGGGAGAGAGGGGAGAAAAGGAAACGGCAAAAAGCTCGTACGCGCACGCACGGCGCCGTCGCTCTCTCTCTCTCTCTCTGCGCAAGCCTTGAAGCGAAGGTGAATTCGCAGCTGAATTTTCTTGGCGGAGGGAGAGGGAGAGGAACAGGGAGAGGGACAGGGAGGGCACGGTGAAAGGGAGCGAGAGATCAGCATGGGTTGGATCGGAGAGACCGTGGACTCCATCCGGAGTATTCAGATCCGCCAGCTCCTCACTCAGGCCGTCAGTCTGGGTTCGTACCCACGATTTCTTTTCCTTGTTTTCCCCTTCATTTTCGGGCATTCTCCTCGTGCTGCTTAAAAATGGAGATGAAATTGGCGGATGGAGTTTCCAAAGTTTTGATTTTTGATCCGGAGTAGGCCTGGTGGGAAGTGAATTCGATTTGGGTTTTCTTGAAAACCTCTCTGTTTGTCGATCTTTTCGGAGAAAAAACGTGTTGATGTAGATTGCAAACGGTGGTAGGTTGATTTTCAATGGGCTTTCTGTTTTGATTATGTGGGTGTTCCAATTCTCGACATAATTTTATCTCTTATTCTTGTTGACAAGGAGATATTGCTCTCATAAGTTGTGTGTGCTTTTTTTTTGTTTTATGTTTTGGGTTTAGGCATGATTGTCACGTCGGCTCTAATTATATGGAAGGCTTTGATGTGCATCACTGGCAGCGAATCTCCTGTTGTTGTTGTTCTCTCTGGGAGCATGGAACCAGGGTTTAAGAGGGTATGGCGATCTATTTCTTCATGGCTTATGTGAGAATTACTTTAAAGATCCTTCATTTTTTGTTTTGCAAGCTGAAGTGTATTGAATTTGGTTCATTATCTACAATCTTATTCCATAAATTCATCAAGCCCGTGTTGTGGATTGTTGAACCTACGAAGCTTATTAGTCAGAGTTGCAAATATTTATGAATCACCGGTAGTTGTTCTGTGGTTTTACTTTTCATGTCTTTCGTTTGTATCCCACTTTCTATCAAAGTCGCTGTAGGTAAATATGTGCCACACCATATTGTGATCATTGAACACACGGTCGCTTGTGTTAAGTCCATGACATTCTGTAATTGGTTCTTCTGAACCTGTCATTATAACACTGTATCAGATGTTTGCATGACATGCATGGAGCTCCATATTTTGGTGGTGATCTATGTATTGTTGCTTGACTCTTCTTAGGGGTTACAATGCTTTAAAGCAGGCATACTAGTGTACATGGTTATCATGACCACTTTAGCTGTTAGAACCATGGCCCAGGTTCTCTGTATTGTTTTTGGTTTTTTCAGTTCATGTTGCCTATAACCAGTTGGATCTGTCTCCTCATGCATCCTTTGTTAAAGTTGCAAGAAATATTGGGCCAATCCACTTCAGTGTTAAAGCTTTGATAGATAGATAGATAGATATATAACTGTCACTCTGACTTCATTTTGTTGAACCACTAGACAAATTTGTACATATATATCAGGGAAAGAAGTGCAATTTACTATTGAAATCATCTGATTTTATCATATTAAGTACTTGACTTCCTTACTAGCCTGTAACTGGCAAATGCATTAGCAAAACTCTGGTTTTCAGATGCTTTGTATTTCAAATTTTATAGATTCATGTTTTTCTTTCATTGCCAAACTCTATGTCGAGAATCCAGACCTTCAAATTAATTTGTTTGTATTGTTTCTTGCCTTTGTCAGCTAATGACTCCCTTAAACCTGATTTGCAGGGAGACATATTGTTCTTGCACATGAGCAAGGATCCTATTCGAGCTGGAGAAATCGTTGTTTTTAATATCGATGTAAGCTCCTTTTTCCCTCTATGTTTGGCTACGTTAGTTCTTATTACCTTAGAATTACGAGCATCATACGGTACCTCCTTTTCTCCCGATAACTTGTGATTCTTGCTTTTCTATAGCTCATTTTTCCACTGCATTTTTTGGTTCATTCTCCTCTGATAATCTTTTGTCGTGTTCAGGGTCGTGAAATTCCGATTGTGCATCGTGTAATAAAGGTATCTTTCCTGCTTATTGAGTTATGTGATTTCTGGTTTTAAGCAACTCGAGAATTTGCCTTAAAGGAAGAAAGTCATACCCAAGATATTCCATCTTTCAGCTCATTGTGTAGAAGTAGTTTACTATTATTCCTTAACCACTATTATTCCTTAACATACTTGTAATCTCCAATTTCTTTGTGGACATTTTGGCTCCCAGTTTGGGAGCATGGAATGCCCTTTTTCTCTGTATCAGATACAAGTTTTTTTCTTATCTCATAGCTCAGCCTTCTTTTCTTAATCATTTACTTTGATTTCCATCCCCAATTTCTTTTTGCATATCAGCTAATTAAATCAGCTCATAGTTTCCTTGCTTGACATTCCACCTCAATTATGTAAAGCCTATTCGTCTCTTTATGTTGAACCTTCTTGATTAGTATGCTTGAGTTTTTTTTTTTTTTTGGTAAAGGTAAGTAGTATGCTTGAGTTTGTGTCCTGAAGAATGAGAAAAGAGAAGGAGAGGGGAAAATGCATCTTTTCTACATCAGTTGAATGAGTAGCATTCTGTGCTAGTTAAAATGACCAATTGTCCCTGCAGGTACACGAACGCCAAGATACTGGAGAGGTCGATGTCCTCACGAAAGGTAGTTTCTAAATTAACGTTATTTGCCTAATGTTTCGGTTTTGTGTGGTGAGACTACAGCTTGGTTTATTTGTCTGTTCAGGTCCTAACATCTCGTCTTATTTCGTTTTATATTGACAGGTGACAACAATTATGGAGATGACAGGCTCTTATATGCTCATGGGCAGCTGTGGCTTCAGCGGCATCACATTATGGGAAGAGCTGTTGGGTAAAGCTTTTGTCTACGACCTCTTTGAGTGTTGTGCTAGAGTCTCTTGCTTTCAAAGCCTTCTTTTTTCTGTTTTACGCTTTTTATTTCTCATATTCCTTTTATTTCTCATATTCCTGACCCTGATTGTATGCAGGTTCTTACCTTATGTCGGTTGGGTTACGATCATAATGACTGAGAAACCTATAATCAAGGTACGTCTTAATAAATCTCTGGCAGGCTCAAGTTAAATGGTTCTTCACTCTAATGTATTTTTCGTGGATACCCTAGCGGATTTGCCTTCTGCGGTTGCATTCACAGTTTTGTTGCCGTAGGATTTGCATTATGGATGCCGTCATGGCTTTTGCTAGCTATTTTTGAAGATAAGGGACTCTTTTTTACTTCTGGTTATCTTGTTCCTTGCAGTATATACTTATCGGTGCGCTGGGGCTGCTTGTAATCACTTCAAAGGACTAATGGAGCCTGTTGTTCTGGGTTTAGTGACTCTAAGGAAAATCAACTCTGGCTGTCATTCTATTGGGTTTCAATTTTCCTTTGTATCTTGGTAGTTTGACAAAAGAGCGGATCTCAATATAAAAACGGAAAGCGAGTTTTAAGGATTTTTTTCTTCATGATGGACGTTAGTTGCAGCCATATTACACCATATTTAACTGTTATTTTCATTTTGTCGACGGTTAACTCTTCCCAGCGATACCTAATGATGCTATGTCTGGTCTCACCCGAGTTCTCATTCGATTTCAGAACAAATGGCTGCTCGAAACTATATTGATGTCTAACAAAGCTGCTGTCAATTTTCGTTGAAACTGTTTCCATGGTATAATAACCCCAACAGGTTCTTGTGCTTGGCACTATTTAGTGACTAGTTTTTTAGGAGCTATTTCATCAACATATCCAATTTAAAAACCGATTTGTTTCCACAAATCTGTAGCAAGAAGTGCCATAACTCGTGGAAACTCTGATTGTTGCTACATTCATAAGTGCAGCCTGAACAGTTCTGGCCAGTGACCCCGGCAGCGCTTAGAAAATCAAGACAAGATTCGAAGGCATTCTGAGCCAATATGAAATCTTCATCTTCTTGCGATGTGAATGACCAGGTTTTAGTTTTCGTGTGATGACGTTGAAAATATCTTCCTGATGTCTAATCTTCCATTCTACTTCGTCGGTGTTAAGTAATAATTCTGCAAAATGTCCACATTTTGAACTTTCCACTCTGCACTACATACGATTCCACAATTTTCCAATCAGCATGGTCAAAACTCAAAACATGAAGTTCCAAGGACAAATGGGAAGGTAAAGAACCTGCTCTCGAGCTAACCTGGGTTACTGTTGACAAGAATACTACGATGCTCTTTGGTGATGCACTAATAGAAGAAGATAGAAAAGAGACAAAGGGAAAACTTTTCGAAGCGCAGACATCAAGATCATAATTTGAACTCGCAAAAGCAGTCGGGCAATGCAGATCCTCTTCCCAAAACAAAATCATCCCTATGAGCCTCCCATAGTGCTCGCGCCAACCTTTTCCCTCTCAAGCCCTTGTAAGTAAGTTCTGAAAATGTTCTTCTGCTCAAGAAAAGAGTTTTGTACAAGCCCTTGAAGGCGCGCATGGCTGCAACCATCTTGTCCATGTTCCCAAAGTATGTAGCCATGTAGGCATCGCTGTTTATTGAAACGTAGTAATCCAAAGCAGCTTTTGTGTTCCCGTGCATGCTTTTGAAATCTTCACCGCTGAGAAGCACGGATTTGGTGACCACGTTAGTGTAGATAGATGTCAGCCCTTCAATTTCCATGACACCATCACCGGCAGCTAGATAAATATGTGTATTGGTAGGAATCCGAAGAGCTTTCAGTATATAGGCCGTCTCTTTTGGTGTAAGGGGGCATTTCCCCCGTCTCCTCCAAATTTTGGCCAGATCACCAGTCCATGGTTTTTTATCTCCCCGAGCTGCTTCAATGGCTTCCATAGAGGATGGTGAGAGACCTGTATACTCACATTGGCTGTAGGCAACCATGTCGGGTTCAAAACGGAGGTGAAGTGCAAGAAAGGGCTTGGGTATGGCCAGGAGAAGCTCCAAAGCTTTCTTCTCCAAAGATTTGGTCAAGCGTAATGCACTGTAACAGCCTTGACAGAGAGCAGCCTTTGCATACTCTGGATATCTGCAAATTATATGATAAGCATCAGAAGAGAACAAACAAATTTCCCTAAAAAGAGGGACACAGGTTTACATCTTTTGCTTTCTTAAATCTCAGGTTGATGAAGGCTTTCTAAACACCAGTAAAATGGAATCGTCCCAAAAAGAAAGGAAGGTGGACCAACTGAAACCTTTTTCTTTAACCATGAGACACATAGACCAAGAGAAAAAGCCAGTCGATCAGTGTTAACTTTGGCCGTAGTTGTTAATCAGTTCGAAGACCTCTTGGAACCAAAACATCCATCATCCACTTAAGACTACACCCCACACATGGGAAACTATGATAAAGAGCCATACAAACATGAGAAAGGTGCAGAATCATACCTATCCCGTCTTTGGCTCATTGCTGGTGTAATAGAAATATAACGATGTTCCAATAAAGATGGAAGGACACTTTCAAGGTAATCAAATTGGCCTTTGCGTTTGCTACAATCTACTGGAAAGGGTTCCTTTGATGCAAACTCTGGGGGCAACTCTTTAGCAACTCTCACAAAGCCAGTCATTTGTTGAATGAAGTAGTCAACATCAAAGACATCTGCAAAACCGCTGAAGATAAGGAATTGCATTAGATAACGTTGATGAATAGTGAACTTCATAATCTTCTTCCTCAAAATCTTAGAAGACATTAGTCATCCTTGTAAATTCTTATTATGCTCTCTCCATATCCAAAAGGTAATACACAGAAAGGTGTGCATGTTCATTTGAGATAGCTTAGCCTCATGCCGCAACACTCCCTTACCATTTCTTTTTCTTTTATTTTTGGCCAACTAGCCAGAGGCTAGGAAGCACGGACACTCTCCAAGGGCCTCCGTGTCGTGTCGGACACCAACACTCGTCCGACGCTATTTTATTATTATTTATTTATTTGTGGATTTGAATCGAATTTATTTTATTGAAATAATTAAAAAAGTGATAATTTATCATGTATAAATAAAAATATACATTTAATATACAACGTGTCCCAACGTGTCGGAATTCTCTATTTTTGAGAATTGATGTGTCGGCGTGTCGTGTCGTGTCGTGTTGCGAGTCGCGTGTCGGTGTCGGTGTCGGTGCTACTTAGGCCAGAGGACCAATTGAACCTCTGTTTATGAAATGCCCCAAGTTCCCAAAAAATAATCTTCATCTCTCTTTTGTTTTCTCATATTTTTCTTCTTTTCCACATTCCATAGCACGGGTTCCACAAATACAACTGTATTTTGCTCAAGCTACAATTCTACCAAACTTACTAGTTCCAATGCCATGGAGAAAAGAAGATATGGGGTAATACCTTGATTCATTCCAGTACGCAGCAACTTCAAATTTTGGCATAACAAGTGTGGCGTTCAACAGACGAGCAATGCCGACACCATCACATAGCTGCAGATATCATATTTAGCGAAATTAGCGAGTGATACTTGAATCTTATCCACGAGGATATGAAGCCTGCAAACGAGAGATTTACTGAGCTCTCACATCTCTTCTCATCTGATTGAGGCCACCATAGCAATTGATGCGGATGTATCCATTACTCTTCTCTGGTAGAGCTGCAGCAATTCAACAAAAACCAATGCAATTGTCTGCAATGAAAGCCAATTAAAATGGTTCTCAGAATATCTATAATCAACCGGATATCCTAATCAAGCCTAACTGCATCCCTATCCCAAGAAGTGTGAGAACCGAGTTGCAACGAGCCCAACCACCAAACAAGAGCTCAGTTTCACATTCATCCTCAAAAGGACATATGGACCATACGAGACACGATAGACGCACCCTGTATCCATTGGCTTTTGCAATCCACCCCAGCAAATGCATCCCTATCCTATGGCTTTTGTAATCGACCCCAGCAAATGAATTGCATTTTGGAAGTTCAAGTTCTTGTTTCCGCACCCTGTATCCATTCAATGCATTGCTACTTTATAGTTTAAAGGACCACGATAGACGCTGGAGGGTACATGAACACAATAATCGCGCATTCTGGTGTCAATAAAGAAGAAAGCAAAAACTAACCGGTCAGATGTCCCTGAAGCCACCATTGGCAAGGTCTCCACTCCGCCATCCTCCTCACGCTCCATATGTCGACATTCTCTCTGCGACAGATTTCAAAGTTCTCAAATTTTCCGAAATGACTTTGTAAGTGCCAATTCAGACACGCTGCCGACGCATTGAAAGCGCTGCTGCGCAATTAAACTGTCCTAACGATTCGCTTATCTCGAGCTGAACTCAAGCAGCTCAAATCAAGACCTTAACGAGAAAGGCTTGGACCAAAATCTCCCGCGAATGAACCGAACTAAAGATGCTACTCCCTCGAAAAAAAGCAGGACGAGACAAATCACACGTACTACATACCTGGAAAGGTAGGAGAAGGAGGTCTGGGAGAAGATGGAACGAGGAGCGAGCACGGATATGGCGAGGAGGACGGAGAGGGTGACCACCAACACGCTGAACAGCGGTTTCACCGGCACCGCCGGGATCTGAATCATGCCGGCGACCGGAGACGCGAGGCCTCGTGCGGTTCCTTCTCAAGATGGGATCGGAAGTCGGGCGTGACACCGGAGGACGATCGATAATCACCGCGCAGGTAGATCGGAGATCGCAGAACCGAACGAAGAAGAAGAAGAAGAAGAAGAAGATGAAGATAGCCGTGAATCCCGCGGCAGGCCATCGAAACTCTGGTACTGCACGAGGTTGGGCTCAGGCCCATGCAGCTTCCCCAAAGCCCGGCCCGATAGGCCCAAAATGAATGGTACGGCACCCTCGTATCTCCGTGTCATACTTTGCTTCTCAAGTATGTGCACAAACACCGTCTCTTTTCAACACATGCATTGATGCACTTGGATCATCCAAGCTGGACCAAACATAATGTTTTACTCGAAATTTTCTAATGTCAATCTCGTCAGAAGCGCAATTTTACCGAAATTAGATCGTATAGAACATAGGAGATTGTTATAAATGATTCGGCCGAGTAAAGAAAAATCGATTAGCGAAGCCCGGGTGTTAGTAAATTCAGCATACATCAGCAAAATTCGGTTAAAATAAGGTGAGGACTAGGAAGAAGATCGTGGCATTTCTCTTCTGAATGACGAGACGAGAAATTAATGAGAGAAAAGAGTGAAGCCAATTCTGTAGATGCATGCCAAAAACTCTAATGACTATATCAATTGAATAGAGACCCTAACAATGAAGTCACACTTTGCATGGCGCATGCTTGTTACAAAAAACGGCAGCTTTAAAAATCGCAGCTAACATGTAGTTCTTTTTAATTGACTAACAAGCATATCTTAGAGCGTTCCGAGTCCAAGATATCAGCAAAACTAAGCGAAACCCATCCGGCAACACGCATATTCAACATAAACAACAAACATGTGACTGAGCACAAGACGCCCCTTTCTCAGCTCTGCTCCTCCGCCTCCGCGGCTTCCCTCTCTTCGGCAGCAGCCGCCATAATCTCATCAAAGTTTGCCGTCTTCCCAAGTACTATCTCGATCTGAAACAAGCATGAACAACAGTAGTTCAGATCAGTTGACATAGGAACTCCGTAGAGGAACTTCTGTGCTCAGAGCCGATTCATAGGCAGACAGAGAATCGATCGATCAAAATGCGATCTCGAACATTAAATCACAGAGAAAAGCCAGCAAACAGGAACGAATTTTCCAACTCAAGTACTAAATAAACCTTTTTCATCCCTAAAACCAAAACTTGCCATCCTTACATTAACACATTCAGCCAAGATCAATCACATATCAAGTTTGAATTTATTTGACAGAGTAGTCCGTGTTTTCCTTTTCTTTTTTTCTCTAAAGATTGTGGAGGAAAATTATCTATTTCTCATATGCCCTAGTTGCTTTCTTTTAATAAACTTGTGTTATGTATACCTTAGCCTTCTGCACCGGTCTTCCCCTGGAATCGTCCTTGATATCGACAGTAGATGTCATGATTTCTGCATTCGTATTATGAGCAACCATTACTAACAGTCCTGCATGTTCTTAATCAGATATACACAGAAAGACAACTCACTCTTCTCAACAGCCAAGCCATTGTTCTTCAGAATTTCTGCCACTGTCACCACCGTCGCAATAGCTGCAGAAGCAAGATGGATTTCCATGAAGGATATGTAGAATGAAGATAGCACAAACTGCCAATATGAACTACATCCATACAGACAACGAAATTCAACTTGTCTTTTCTCCAAGTAAATGATTCCTAATTTTATATTTCCAAGAGCGAAAAAATTGAGATTACATGATTAAGCATCTCAGCATTCACAACAAAAGGTTAGTCCTTCGACCATTTTACATGCTACACAAGCCCTCAAACGACACATTCTGTTGTGTTATTAAACTGCAGGATCACAGTGAGCTCTCATAAACTTAGGTATAATTTGAAAGGCAATTTCCCTACTTACAATATCCGCTGACACATAAACACCCATTTGAGTTAACTGCATATAAGCAACTGTTCTTCTCTTTCATTTCTAAAGGGTTATAGATAGAAGGACCACGACTACTTTACTAAAAAACATATTAAAATGAAGTACAGTCATGTGAAAATTTACGAAGCAACAAATGGCTGAAGAAATGGCACCATGGCTATGTCCTGAACTAACTAGATCTGCAAGGTTACATTAAAGCAATGGAACAATCAGGATAAGTCCTGAAGAAAGGTCTAAAAAGGAACTGCTCAATTAAAAAACCCAAGGGAGGCACACGAGTTAAGATGTCTACTTTGAATCTCTCTTCACACTGTAGCCGGTGTACATAGCTCAAATGGAGGAAGTAGCATAAACCAAGACTTCTAAACAATTTACACAAACAGAAACAACAAAACTGAAAGGGGCTAAGAAGGGTTCCTCATATAGCTTCCAACCATTTCAGTCCCAAAATACCACAGAAGCAGCTAACCAGCATGTCGATCGACTACCGACGCAGCACAGTATGCATGCACACACACTAATCAGGCCGACAAATATAGCAACGAAATGAATTACAGACACTCAAAAAACGAAGAGAAGCACAAATTTCTTGCAAAAACACCCAGATTCGGTCAGGCCGGTATCTGGCAACTGTTGCATCTACACAGGCCGCACGTCGGAAAAAAAAAAAAAAAAACCAACAAAGCTTGCAGAAGCTTAGATATGGGGTCAGAACACAGTACCCATTCCCAAAGCCGAGAGCTCGACCTCATTGTGCTGCTGCATATACCTCTGCAAGAAACCAACCAGAACCCAACACGCGTCAAACCCCCCCACCACAACGCCCGGAAACTACCAAACAGCAACCAGACGACCTCAATCGAAACGAGGAAAGCGAGAGGGAAAGGGACGGGGGCTCCCGTACGGTTACCTTGGCGAGGTTGACGTAGAAGAAGAGGGGCTTCTTGGTGTTGGACACCTGAATGCGGTTCTTCTTGTGCGAGTCGGTGATGGCGATGTTGTTGATCCCCTCGGTGACCTCCTCCATCGGTGGTACCTCCGAGATGATCTCTCCCTTCGGTGCGCGCACGAGCTGGCAAAAACCCTAACCCCCCCGCGAATTGCTCTGCAACCTGCAACCCTCTTCTTGTCTCTCTCCTTCCTTGCGCAGTACCTTCGCCTTGAAGGCGCCATCTTGGAGCTAGGTTTTTCTATATAAGGCTCCCCCCCAACCCAAAACACAAAGGGCCCAATTGTTCGGTGCCGGGCCCATTGATCGGCCCATTGGGCCATCGGATGCTGCCCCTGTTAGAAAGAGAGGCCTGGTGAATTGGGCTTCGGCCGAACTCCTTTCGACTTGATGCTCAATTGGCCTAAAAATCGAAACACTAGCGTAGCAAGGAGATGTCCGCTTTGTTTGTGCGCGCACGCCAAGGGTGTGCAAAAGAACTGGGAACTGCCCGAACCGGACCGAACCGGCGACGGTTGCCGGTAGAGAAAAAAAACGCAGAAAAAGAGGCAAAGAAAAATAAAAATATTAAAATATCGAAATTATTAAGAAATTATCCACATCAACACCGGCTGTGCCAAGTAAGACGGCCGGCGTCCACATAAGCGAATTCCGGAAAAAATTGGCCGGATGGACTCGATTAACAAAATGTGAAAAGGTTGAGGACTCAATTGGTAAAATTGAAGGATTTATGACCGAATTGGCAAAAGTGCAATAATTTTAGGATTTTTTGGACAATTTTCCCTCTTTCTTTGTGTGTGTGTGTGTGTGTGTGTGATGGGGGGTAGAGAAGGGATTGATTTGTCGAGAAGGGACATATTTGAAGTATAGTTTATCATTGGGTGGATCCAGATCTTGCCTCGTGCTAAACCTATCAAAGTGGGTCAAAAAACGATTTCTTAGCTCATATATGATGAACTAAATCATAATATGGGTTAGCTATGTTCATTAAAATGTGTCATAAATGGGTTAAGAATGGCAAAGTCCAAAAATATATGGTTGTTGAATGGTTCACAATTTTACCCAAATTTAATCTACCTTTACAACTAACTGTTCACTCTTTATGAGAAAAAAATGGACTTCTCGGACTGTTCTAAATTTAGAGAAGACTTTGTGGACCTGCAAGAACGGCTTGACTTCACCCTTATTAAAAATATCAAGATGGCTTTTTTATCCCCATTATTTTTATTTTTATTGCTCTGTAAGTTTCGTCTGTTAATTATTGAAGTATACCTTTTATTTGTTGCATTTGGCATTGCTACTTTTATGTAATATTCTAGTCTTAGTTCTTGTTGTTGCAAGCCATCATTAGCATAAATGATCTTCTTCAATATCTTACATTCCATTTAATTAAAATTTCAATTCCTCCAACCGCTTGATTAGCATAAAAGATCTTCATCATTTTATTGGTTGAGTATGGGTCACTGAATTCAAATTGCATATAAATGAATCGATTTGGATCAGACCATATTCAACCCCACCCAGCCACTCATTTGACGGTCCTACCCTGCCCTTAACCAGGCCTAATTTTCGAGAAAAGTGTCAAAAAAGTCCTAAACCTTTTTTTGGTACCAATTCAGTCCTAAACCTTTTGTATTGGCGCCAATTTAGTCCAAAATATTTTTTTGGTACCAATCCAGTCCTAAACATTTTGCATTGATGCCAATTCAATCCTTCCGGTCAATTTTGGTCATATTTGCTGACGTGAATTCTGACCGGTCACCGAAGCTGACGTAGACAACTTTTAATAATATTTTAATATTTTTTAAATTTTTATTTATTCTTTTCTTTTCTATTTTTTTCCTCCCCTCCCTCCTTCCTCCAGCCGGTCGCCGGACCGACGACCGACCAGAGGCCAGAGGCCGGCGAGGTCGCCTCGCCGACCACTGGCGAGGCTCGCCCTCGCCGGATGGCCGTGAGGGCGGCCTCATGCTAGGCGAGCAAGGCTTGAGCTTCGCCAGCAGCTGGGCGAGGGGTATTAGAGAAGTCTCGCATCCAAAAATTGATGTGATGTGAAGTATAAATATTCTAATGGTATTTTAAGTGAAGGTGATCCAACTTGACATGCCAATAGTATCAAGCTTAGACTCTCTTTTGATAACTCCCTATGCTGACGTATCAAGCTTATATGCGTGTCAAAAGTACCTATATATTTCTCTCCTGCTAACTTCAAGTGCATATGACAGCTTTTTTTCTTGTGGAGAGGTGAGGGGGTTTGATTAGGCCTAAAGGAAACCCTTCGAACTCTGCCAAGTGAAAACAATTTAAGCATTTATGGCCAACGGAAAACCCTTCGAGCATTTCCCACTTTTAGTTTGGGAGAACATTTGGAAGTGATTATCGAGATAGTGTACCCTCCTTAAGCATAACTGGAGGAGTTTCATTCCTGTTACCAAATGCTTAGATTGAGCCATAACTTCGGTCTGCCGGAATCTTTGTGGATGAACCCCGGAGGGAACTTCGAGATGGCCAAACTTGTCATTGCAGCACCGTGGATGTGTTAACCGGAGGGATTAAGATGGATTGGTCCGAACAACTACGATGATTTGGAGCACAGTGTAATATAGATACCTCTAGTTTGGAGGGCATGTGCAACGAGTCTTGGTTTGCTAAAGTTGATTAATTAGGGTTTCTTCATGATGCATTGAGTCCTCTAGTAAGCAACTAAGGTACCATGACAAGGAGTTGCAATAACTAAGGGTTTTCTCATGGTATGTGAAACTTAACTTCACAAATATAAGTCAAAACTCAAATTTATGCTGATCAACGGGCTGCCAATTCTCTTTCATCTCGTTACAAATTCTCGTTCGTGCGTGTTGCTCAAATACGGTTCTTACCTTCTAGACGCGCCTAAAACCGCACATAAATGAATAATCCACATATCTCACTTCCTTTTGCACAATCCGACCGTACCAGAAAACAAAACCTCATCAAAGACGACACTGTCGATCGACTATCACTTCTAACGACCCCTACGAACATTGCGCGAATCCGATAACCATATGTAAACATTAGATTAAGGTGATGGTAGCATCTCCCCAATTATTAATAGCGAGAAAGCAGAAACAATAACGAAGAGAACGGGGGAAAAAGACGAAAAAAGATTTGAGTTTGCTTCAAAAGATGGAAACTGACAATTATTAAACCACACCCCAGCACACCATTAAAAATTTACAATTATTTTGCCCCCAATCGTGTGCATATTCCAACCAGCATTTCTTTTTCCTCTCCTTTTATTCTTTAAATTTTGGAAAACTTTATGATTTTTTTTTTTTTCAAGTTGGGTGGTGTTTGGGCTCACACAGGTACTTGCCAAGCCCCGCCCCACCCGCCCATGTGTTAAGGTCCCCATTACAGATTGTCCCGATGCCCCAGCATGCTTTTGTCCTTGCCCTTGTACCATCCCACCCACGCCCCACCCGCCCCACCCGCAAGATGCCCAGTATGCTTTTGTCGCTTGCCCTTGTTCCTTTCATCATCCTCCCCCACCACACCCCGCGCCCCCAACTTTATGCTATTAATAATTCCATTCAATTCCAAGCTATTGTCTTGTTTCTCCCTCATTTCAGGAAAACTTCACTGCGCAGAGAAGGAGGGGGTGGTACCATAGCCATGTGATTCGGTTGACTGCTTGGCCCTATTGGGGATTGCCCACGAAATTTCAAGTGAAAAGGGCGTTTTGAGGCTTAGGCCCCCCCCCCTCCATTTGTTGTGTGGTAGGGCACGACCCCCATTTCGTACTTGGAAGAAACAAGACCCCATTTGCGAAATAGCGTCCAAACCCTTGCATGTTACCCTTCCCCCTCGTGGTGCCACGTAAGCCGATCGGCGTCCACGTCAGCAAAATCAGATCAAAATTGAGCGAAATGACTGAATTGGCACAAAAACAAAAGGTTTAGGACTAAATTGACACAAAAAAAAGTGTATGACTAAATTGGCACCAATACAAAAAGTTTAGGACTGAATTGGTACAAAAAAAAGATTTATGACTAAATTGACATCAATACCAAAGGTTTAGGACTTTTTTTACACTTTTCCCCGTAATTTTCGTATCAAGCCTGTCCATAACATGAGAATCACACAAGAACTTTTGGGCGAGTCCTGGCCACAGCCACGTACAAATTGGCCAAGAGTCGATGGCGATAAGCATCGGAATGAACAAGGAGAAGATGGCGGCTACTTTGCAAGAGATCACAGTGGCGATCGACAAGCTTCAAAAAGAGAGAGAGAGAGATATGCGTGTGGAAGGAAGGAGAAAGGACCAAAAGGGTATAAGAGGTTTTTTTTTTTTATTCATTTCTGTGCGCGTGTGGTTGACTATAAGTTAGATGAACATAATTATCTTTCAATTATAATAGGTCGTCGTTAATACAAAAAAGGATAGATGTTTCCACCTGAGAAAGCTACGACGTCTTGTTTAATGACTCAATAGCCAGTCAGTCTACCTTCTCATTCCTTGTTTCCTCCCCTGTGTGTGTTTTTTTCTTTCAAGGGGAAGTCAACATCCCGAGGTTCGGATAGTTCATTTTAAGGACTTGCTCAGGTCCAAGCTACACTAGGGGCGTTTGTTGTCCAGGAAACATGGCAAATCTTCCTCTTCTTTTTCCAACCCTGCGTCACACGAGATTTCAAATGGAAAGTGATGGCTACCAACTAAGTTCCACGCATCTCCTCCTCCTCCTTTATCTTTAAATTCCAGATCTTTAGGGATTTTACATACGTCATGAGGTCGAGGAATACGTGTGCGATGTGTCGAATCTTGTGGGCTAAAACCAAAACAGCTGTGTCGCACCAACGAGGGACGTGTCTTGTTTTTCATGTTCAGCTTTTCCTGCTCGACTTCTTCTTCAATGAAATGAATTTCGACTATGGCAAGAGAGATGGAAAAACCCTCTTGCAGAATTCCAAATCCCAAATCCAGTTCAATCGATTCTGGAAATGCAGAATTCGGTAACGTTTGAAGCACGTGAGCACTCTCCCTCGAGGACAAATTCCGCCCCTTCACATGGTTCGGAAACGTGCATCGCGACTATCCTCCAAGATTCGACGGACCTTCTAAATGACAAGCACCCAGCTGTTTTGGTAGAACGAAAATGAAGATAGAATTTATATCATGTTGTATGAAGTTCACCCTTTCTAAGCACACTTAGTAGAAAGTCAAAAACTCC